CCCAGCTCCTCTCGTTTCTCAGGAGCTAATTACCCTCCTCCCTCCCCAGTTCCTCTCGTTTCTCAGGAGCTAATTACCCTCCTCCATCCCCAGCTCCTCTCGTTTCTCAGGAGCTGATTGCCCTCCTCCATCCCCAGCTCCTCTCGTTTCTCAGGAGCTAATTACCGTCCTCCATCCCCAGCTCCTCTCATTTCTCAGGAGCTGATTACCCTCCTCCCTCCCCAGCTCCTCTCGTTTCTCAGGAGCTGATTACCCTCCTCCCTCCCCAGCTCCTCTCGTTTCTCTGGAGCTGATTACCCTCCTCCATCCCAGTTCCTCTCGTTTCTCAGGAGGTTGATTACCCTCCTCCATCCCCAGCTCCTCTCCTTTCTCGGGAGCTGATTACCCTGCTCCATCCCCAGTTCCTCTCGTTTCTCAGGAGTTGATTACCCTCCTCCATCCCCAGCTCCTCTCCTTTCTCGGGAGCTGATTACCCTTCTCCCTCCCCAGTTCCTCTCGTTTCTCAGGAGCTGATTACCCTCCTCCATCCCCAGTTCCTCTCGTTTCTCAGGAGCTAATTACCCTCCTCCATCCCCAGCTCCTCTCATTTCTCAGGAGCTGATTGCCCTCCTCCATCCCCAGCTCCTCTCGTTTCTCAGGAGCTAATTACCGTCCTCCATCCCCAGCTCCTCTCATTTCTCAGGAGCTGATTACCCTCCTCCCTCCCCAGCTCCTCTCGTTTCTCAGGAGCTGATTACCCTCCTCCCTCCCCAGCTCCTCTCGTTTCTCTGGAGCTGATTACCCTCCTCCATCCCAGTTCCTCTCGTTTCTCAGGAGGTTGATTACCCTCCTCCATCCCCAGCTCCTCTCCTTTCTCGGGAGCTGATTACCCTGCTCCATCCCCAGTTCCTCTCGTTTCTCAGGAGTTGATTACCCTCCTCCATCCCCAGCTCCTCTCCTTTCTCGGGAGCTGATTACCCTTCTCCCTCCCCAGTTCCTCTCGTTTCTCAGGAGCTGATTACCCTCCTCCATCCCCAGCTCCTCTTGTTTATCAGGAGCTGATTACCCTCCTCCATCCCCAGCTCCTCTTGTTTCTCAGGATCTGATCACCCTCCTCCCTCCCCAGCTCCTCTCGTTTCTCTGGAGCTGATTACCCTCCTCCCTCCCCAGTTCCTCTCGTTTCTCAGGAGCTGATTACCCTCCTCCATCCCCAGCTCCTCTCCTTTCTCGGGAGCCGATTACCCTCCTCCCTGCCCAGCGTTGGAAGATCCAGCTCGGTGGCGGACGATGAAGCAGAAGTCCTGGAGCTCAAGGAACCACCGCGTCACTCTGGCGTTGGTATCCTTGGCCTTGGCCATCCACTGAAGGGGTGCGTGGTCTGTGAGGAGAGTGAACTTACGGCCGAGCAGGTAGTACCGCAGCTCAAGGACTGCCCACTTTATTGCCAAAGCCTCTTTCTCAACCGTGGCGTAGTTCTTCTCGGCCTTTGTCAGTTTCCTGCTAATAAACAGAACAGGATGTTCCTCATTCTCCGTGACTTGGGACAGGACAGCTCCCAACCCTGTCTCGGACGCATCCGTCTGCAACAGGAAGGGGCAGCCAAAATTGGGGGCGTGCAGGACCGGTTCCTCTGTCAGGGCATCTTTGATTCGCTGAAATGCCTCTTCTGCCTCGGAACTCCAGGCGACACGCTCAGGCTGCCACTTTTTGGTTAGGTCTGTCAGGGGGGCGGCTAACGAGGAGAAGTTGGGGATGAAGCAGCGATAATATCCTGCTAAGCCCAGGAAAGCCCGCACCTGGGTCTTCGTTCCGGGCCTTGGGGCGGCGCGGACGGCCTCCACCTTTTTCTCCTGTGGCTTAATGAGGCCCCGTCCAACCTGGAAGCCCAGGTACTTTGCCTCGAAGAGGGCCAGGTGACATTTGCGAGGGTTGGCGGTGAGTCCAACCCTTCGAAGATCCGTAAGCACCCTCCGTAGATGGTCTAGGTGGTCCTCCCAACGCTCCGAATGAATGACTACATCATCGATGTAGGCTGCTGCGTACTGCTGGTGTGGCCGAAGGATGATGTCCATCAGCCTCTGGAACGTGGCCGGTGCCCCGTGAAGCCCGAAGGGAAGGGTCCGATATTGCCAGTGGCCAGTTGGAGTTGAGAAGGCGGTTTTCGGTTTGGCGGTTTCGGAGAGGGGTACCTGCCAATAACCCTTCGTCAGGTCCAGGGTGGAAATATACCGGGCCTTTCCCAGGCGGTCTAGGAGTTCATCCACCCGGGGCATTGGGTATCCGTCAAACTCCGAGACTTCATTGAGGCGGCGGAAATCGTTGCAGAAGCGGAGCGTGCCATCTGGTTTCGGGACCAGGACGATTGGGCTGGACCACGGGCTGCGAGATGGTTCGATCACCCCCAACTTCAACATCTGCTGGATTTCCTCCTCGATAGCCTGCCGACGAGCCTCTGGAATACGGTAGGGCCGTTGTTTTACAATGACCCGCGGCGGGGTTATAATGTCGTGTTGTACCAGACTGGCTTGCCCGGGGACTGTAGAGAACACATCCGAAAACTGACCAATCAGGTGTCCCAGTTCAGCCTTTTGTTCCCCCGACAGACTGGGGTTGGTATCCACCAAAACGGACTCGATGGTGGCAAGAGCTACGGTCTGTTCTCTGGTCCCCACCCACCTCTTCAGCAAGTTTACGTGGTATAGCTGCTCAGGGCTCCGTCTCCCAGGTTGCCGTACTCGGTATGTTACAGGTCCCACTTTCTCTACAACTGTATAGGGCCCCTGCCAAGTGGCCAGGAACTTACAGGCTGCGGTGGGGACTAACAGCATAACTCGATCGCCCGTTTGGAACTCTCGGGGCTGAGCTGTACGGTTATAGTGGCGCTGTTGAGCCTGCTGGGCTTTTACCAGATGTTCACGGACTAGGGGCATGACGCGGTCGACCCGTTGTCTCATCTCGGCGACGTGCTCGACTAGGGACCGGTGCAGGGTGGGCTGCTGGTGTTCCCACGCCTCTTTCGCCACGTCGAGCAGCCCTCGAGGTTGTCGTCCGAAGAGGAGCTCGAAGGGGGTAAAGCCTGTGGAAGCCTGGGGCACTTCCCGTATACCAAACAGAACGTAGGGCAACATCTGGTCCCAGTCCCGTTTATCTTCGGCTGCCACCCGTCGCAGCATTTGTTTGAGGGTCTGAATGAAACGTTCGACGAGTCCGTCCGTCTGAGGATGGTACACGGTCGTCCGCAGCTGCTTCACTTGGAGTAAGCGGCAGAGATCGGCCATTAGCCGGGACATGAACGGTGTTCCCTGATCGGTCAAGATCTCCACCGGTATACCCACTCGGCTAAACAGTAGGAAGAGCTCGTGGGCGATATTCTTCGCAGTGGCTTTCCGGAGGGGAATTGCTTCGGGGTAGCGGGTGGCGTAGTCGACCACAACGAGGATGTGTTCGTGTCCCCGGGCTGACTTTGGTAACGGCCCTACCAGATCCATCCCGATGCGCTCGAAGGGCACTTCAATTATGGGCAGCGGTATGAGTGGAGTGGGAGGTGGTGGTTTAGGTGACGTCTTCTGGCAGACCGGACAGGCTTGACAGAACTGCTTCACTTCGGCCTCCAGGCCAGGCCAGTGGAACCGGTCTCGTATGCGTTGAATGGTATTAGCTGCGCCGAGGTGTCCTGCCAATGGGTGGGAGTGTGCCAATTGCAGGATTGTCTCGGTCTTCGAGCGCGGCACCACTAACAGTTTTTTTTCCTCCCCCCTCCGCTGAGCGACACAATAGAGTAGGCCGTTTTCTATGGCAAAGTGGGGGCAAGGATGGGGTTTTGGCCGGGTGTCTTCTCCATTCATTACACAGACCTGTGTCCAGCAGTGTTTCAACCGCTCGTCCTCCCGCTGAGCGCGGCCAAAAGAGCCGCCCCCCGAGACCTGTTGGTAAACATCATAGAAGAGATTAGAGGAAAGGGAAGGGGACTCACCATCTCTCCCACTGTCGGAGGCCAAGAGAACGGGGCGTCGGCGGGGATTCCTTGCTGGTCGCCGCCCACGGCGACCCCTACTGGGTTGGACAGGTCGTGTGGCGTCGCTGAGCAGGGTTTCGAAGCCCGGCCAGTCTCGGCCCAGCAGCACAGACACTGGCAGATCTTTAATGAGCCCAACTTCTATGGGCCAGGACCCCGAAGCCGCGGAGATAGTGACGCGCCGAGCAGGCACCTGTCGTGTGTCTCCGTGCACGCAGGTGATAGGCAACAGCGTCTTGGTCTCGCTGCGTGGAGGAAGAATATCCGCCCTGACGAGGCTGACGGCGCTGCCCGAGTCGAGGACCGCTTTGAATGGCCGGCCGTTGATCTTGATCTCGGTCTCTGGGGCTCCCCTGGGGAGCTCGTGGTGCACTGCACACCCTGCCAACCAAGCCCGAATTTTGGGGGAAGAGGGCGCTGTTGGCATGGACTCATCTTGTGGCTCAGGGGCCACCGTTCTGCTTATTGGTCGTGAAGCGCCCTCCGGTGGGCGCTGTTCTGGAGCCGTCCTCCGGAGAAAAGGTGGTACTCGCTCCCCAGCCTCACGACGGTGGGACGCCTCCGCTAGTTCAATCGCCTCCACTAGCTCTGATGAAGTTGTAGGGTTTCGCATACCCACAGCCTGGCGGTAGGAGCGGGGTAAGGCCCGAAGGAGGCGGTCAATGACCACGCGTTCCACTACCTGGGCAGGGGTGGGCTCTCCATCCATCAGCCAATGCTGCGCTATACGAGACAGTTCGGCTGCTTGAGTACTTGCGGGGCGCCGGGGCTGATACGACCAGTCATGGAAGCACTGGGCTGCACACACTGGAGATAACCCCACTCTAGCCAAAATTTCCCTTTTTACATCCTCATACCTTTCTGCAGTTGCTGTGGGGAGGCTGAAGAAGGCGCGCTGGGCTTCACCAGTGAGAAGAGGGGCGAGTGCGCGAGCCCAGTCATCCGGATCCCACCCTTCTGTTACAGCAGTATTCTCGAACATCTGCAAATATGCCTCGACGTCATCATGGATGGTCATTTTGGGGAGGAGCTGGGCGGCCTGAACCCGTGGGAATTATATTGAGAACATCGTACATAGAAAACATGCCGTAATGTACCCTGAGTGTAAACCTTAGACGCATTCATTGTGAAGCGTGCATCTAGCGATTTGCAAAGATTAATATAAATATTAAAGATTAATAAAATGATACACTCACTTCAGTTATTTTGGAGGTTCAGCAGGAACACGAATAGTTGGTACTTCTTAGCAAAACCAGCTTTATACTGACCCTCCTCGTTTATAAGCAGTCTGGTGTGTGAAATGATTCGCGCAAATATGAAAGCATTGACGTTGCTCGTGGGGAATATTCCCTTCGAAAACAAACTCAGCCACTGCGTCTTCAGCGGTTCGGATTTAGGAACATTAAAATGACTGTGTTCGTTATTACACCCAAGAACAGAACACCACAATGGCTTAGACGCCATTCTGCTCATAGACAGTGCTCCAGCATATCAACAATGACCACGCCGGTCCGGTCCGCACCGCGCAGACTATGATTGACAGGACGAGCAAGGCGGGTCTGTGTTGAAACCCGGCTGTCAATCAACAATCGTGGGAGGGGCGTCCGTTTTATTGACGTCACAAAAACGAACGGCTCAATTTGAGGCAGGGGAAAACATATAAGGAGATTAAAACAAAAACACTGGATGGATTTTTATCATTATATGATGGTTGTGTACAGGCACTGCCAACACACATTTCAGTACAATCAACTTGTAAAAGTGCATGTACCATTATATGACCCCTTTAATGATTTCTGCAATACATTGATGTTGGTTCTGTTCTGTTCACCCTAAGGGGGGTTATTGCTGCTCTCCTGCTCTTATCCATGCTAGGCTGCCCAGAACAGAACCAGACCACCAATCCAAACTGTATGCTAATTGTCAATCGTATTTGACAATAGTGGTGCTGACAGAACTCTTGTTGTGTGATCAGGGCTGATAGTGATGGTGTCAGATCCAGATCGGCCCGAGTCCCCAAACACCAGCTGAACACCAGCGCCACTCGCCCCGAGAACCAACCAGGTCAGCTTATAACTCACCTGTCACTACACTATAATCCTCTTCACAGGTTTAAATGACTCAGATTCACAAATTTTTTCACTAAGCTTTTCTGTCGCTTGCCTTTCTATCAGAACACTACCAGACGTTTTTAGGAAGTTTATAAATCCTTTTCCAGATCAAGGTTATTATCATTCACTAAAATTAAAACCCATTAAAAACACTTTTTTTTGTTACTTGGAAAAATGCCAACTGAAATAAAATAAAACACATATTTTATTTCAACTAATTGCAGAGGCGACATTTGTCAATTTTGTTGTTTAATTTGTTTAATTAATAACCAAAAATAAAAAATAAAAATGTTCATATACATTGATATCCCTGTTGAAACAGATGAACTTAAACCGAAGTATCTGGACACATTTATGATTTGTAGAATATTTGGGCTCTTTCTCATTCGTGCAGCTTCAGGTCTTCAGGTTAGTTGGTTTAATTGGACGTGTCCAGTCACAGGACGTCCCAGTTAAGGGTCTTTTTTTAGCCTGTGAACTTTAAAGTCATTATTTATTTGGTGTTAAGAGGGTCGGCTCACAACAGGCCTGTGTTTTGTTCCCATCATCATCACTCATACAGGAGGAATGTGTCGCCTCACTTTTACAGACACAATAAAACCTGAGCCAACAGAAGCCGTTTCTTCTGCCCGACCGCGACGCTCATTAACGCACACATGAAAGCAGGGAATGTCCACAGACGTCGGGATTGTGCTGGGATGCAGGTCCGGATAAAAAAAAACATCATGTTAGCATGTGGAGATATACAGTATATATATATAAATAGAAAAATATACCAATTAAATAACTAAAAATATTAAACAGAGTAGAGCTTACCTGAGCATTTAGGCTTACAAATAAAAGTTATGCAATTTTAAAAAAAAATTATTTATTTATTTATTACAGTGTGGAGACAAAAAAATATTGAATATGAATACTGCTGATTATATATAAAAAATGAATGAATTAAAAAATAATATATATATATACACACATACAAACATTTTTCTATTCCAGAAATAAATAAACATAAAACTTAAATTTTAATTTAAATAAATTAAATAGATTTAATTATAAAATAAAGTAAAAAGAACTAAATAGATTTAAATGATATAATTAAATATAAAACTTTCTTCAAATTTCAGAGGTGAGCTACAATCATTACCTGAGCATTTAGGCTTACAAATAAAAGAGAGGTAATTAATAACTTACTTATTATTACAGTGGAAAAAACAAACAACCCTATTTTCTACCTAATTGAACTCTTTAAATAGTTTCTAACAGATAATGTTTCAAATACAATATAATATGCTTTAAATGTATATAAACTTTAATCTTTACTATTAAGAATGTGTACCTTTCCAACTAAAATAATACTTACAATACTTAAAATAATAAAACTTAAAATTAAGTTAAAAGTTTTGATCACCCCAAATTATCAAATAAATATTCAGTAGTAATTTAATGGAGATGAATTTGCTGTTTCTAATTAGGCACGTTAAAACATTTTGCGTGTGTGGACAAATAAATTCATGACTTTAATATCTGATATTTTTGAATGATTTGAGCTACAATAACCACTGCTTCCAAACAGGTTTCCCAAACGCTGCCTGTCTTCCAGCGCTCAGCTTGAGTCAGAAGCAAGACTCTATAAAACATTTTTTATAATTGCATTCTATTCAATCAAATTAAAACGTAAATTAAAAACAGAAATAAGCATCATGCTTTTCAGTTGGAAACCCCTGGAATCGGATTGCACTTTCTTTGCGCCGTCATGTTTGTTGTTTGTAGACGTACGGGTGCCTGTAGAGACACATCTCAAACATAAACACGCTTCTCTGACGCGGATGATGTTTGACAGTTCATTTATACAAGGATGGCTCTGATATTGTTTATATGACGGATTCTTTTTCCTTTTCTGCTCAGTTTGACATTTAAAGACTAGCAGTTTTAAGAGCAACTGTTTCTCCTGATGTTCTTCACTGTCTCACTGCAGAGAAACTCGGGCCATCCAGGGATCTCTCTGGAGGATCCACAGAAGAGTCTCCCCACGCTTCTGCATCAGCCAGCAAGGTATCGCTCGCTTCTGTTCAGACATATGAGCCGCAACAGTTCTGTTATCACTGTAATCAACTTCCACCGTGTCCTAACCAGTCGCGTAACCAGATGCGGAGTCTCTCTGCAAGCGCACTGCACTCGCAACCAAATCGATCATAAATCACAGCCAATCAGAAGAGTGTGTGGGCGGAGTCTCTCTGTAAGCACACTGCACTCGTAACAATTCAATCCAAAATCACAGCCAATCAGAAGAGTGTGTGGGCGGAGTCTCTCTGTAAGCACACTGCACTCGTAACAATTCAATCCAAAATCACAGCCAATCAGAAGAGTGTGTGGGCGGAGTCTCTCTGCAAATGCACTGCACTCGCAACCAATTCAATCTACAATCACAGCCAATCAGAAGAGAGTGTGGGCGGAGTCTCTCTACACTCGCAACCAAATCAATCCAAAATCACAGCCAATCAGAAGAGAGTGTGGGCGGAGTCTCTGCACTCGCAACCAATTCAATCTACAATCACAGCCAATCAGAAGAGTGTGGGCGGAGTCTCTCTGTAAGCACACTGCACTCGTAACAATTTAATCCAAAATCACAGCCAATCAGAAGAGAGTTGGGCGGAGTCTCTGCACTCGCAACCAATTCAATCTACAATCACAGCCAATCAGAAGAGAGTGTGGGCGGAGTCTCTCTGCACTCGCAACCAAATCAATCCAAAATTACAGCCAATCAGAAGAGTGTGGGCGGAGTCTCTCTGTACTCGCAAGCAAATCAATCCAAAATCACAGCCAATCAGAAGAGAGTGTGGGCGGAGTCTCTCTGCACTCGCAACCAAATCAATCCAAAATCACAGCCAATCAGAAGAGAGTTGGGCGGAGTCTCTGCACTCGCAACCAATTCAATCTACAATCACAGCCAATCAGAAGAGAGTGTGGGCGGAGTCTCTGCACTCCCAACCAAATCAATCCAAAATCACTGCCAATCAGAAGAGTGTGGGCGGAGTCTCTCAACTCGCAAGGAAATCAATCCAAAATCACAGCCAATCAGAAGAGAGTGTGGGCGGAGTCTCTCTGCACTCGCAACCAAATCAATTCAAAATCACAGCCAATCAGAAGACCGTGTGGGCGGAGTCTTTCTCTACTCCCAACTAATTCAGTCAAAAAAAATCACTGCCAATCAGAAGAGCGTGTGGGCGGAGTCTCTCAGCAAACGCACTGCACTCGCAACCAAATGCAGTAAACAATGAAATTCATACATATTACACCATTTTAACATTATTAAAATACATACTGAGTGACTGAAACAATCTTTGCCATAGAATACACTTGTTTGTTCAGTTTGTTATAAACCTTCATGTGCTGGTGCTTCTAACAAACTAGAAACTGAAGAACCTGTGATGTGGCGTTACACAACTCTGCCTAGGTCGTTGGTCCGATCTTCCCCAAAATTGGCACGCATCAGCCAAGGACAGCGCTGGCAGAAAGCTATCAAAAGAATTTTGAATAGTCAAAGCATTGCAAAGTTATACACTAATTAAGGATGGCCATTTTTATGAGTTGACCTATAGCTGCTAAACGCAATGTCTAAGCGTAACCAAACCTGGACTGGAAAACAAGACAAAAATACTGAGGAAGAGCATTATTTTTTCATTAAACATCCTAGAATCCACAACACAGCTGTTTATCAGAGTTTACCATGTTCAATGGAATAAATCTCCTCTGTTGCAGATCTTTTTTTCCGACCTGGATGTGATTCCCGGTTTGGGTGGAGAGCCGGAGGAACCGACAGTGGAAGAACAGTGTGCTCAGGCCATCACAAACAGAGCTCGGGACATCGAGAAGGTGCGTTCGCCAGCTTTACCTCACTTTCCTTTTGAGCTTCGAAGACAGATAACTAAAAGTGAGCTACAGTCAAACCAAAATACATTCAGACACCTTCAACACTTCTCACATTATCACAGTTTATTCGCTATAGTTTAGAAAATGGTAATAAAATATGATCAGATCAGTGGATATTTGACTGGTTTTGTCCGTCCTTCTGTTAGACTCTCACACATGAATTATGTTGAATATCTGTCAGCTGTTAAATTTAACTACACAATTAGATAATACCAGTTTAGCTCAACCAGTGACCAGTGAACATGCTTCATGTTGTGCAGTCTGTGTGTAAAAAGAGCATTAGCAATTACAGAAAACACACTGAAGAAAACATGATCAATATTTTTTGGTCCCAAATTTATAAATGTTACTGGTAGTCACTGTATGAAGAATATTTGTGTATGTCACAGTTTACTTTATTTTGCTCTCTCACTTACATAAATGAACTATAGTGTCCTGAACACACTAGTAGAAAATATCAAAAATGATATCTGAATAATGTTTGTTTTGACTGTAAAACACTACATTTGGTGAGCTGGGAATGATTTGCTCAGCCTTCATCCATCACTCCAATCGCCCTCAACGAAACACATCCACCCGGACCTATTAGACCCTCAGTGAACAAATGCCTCCTAATATTCCCTAATGTGTTCCAGCCCTGGAATAATTGCCCCCCGCTCAGTGATTGCAACAGACCTCCGCTTGTGTGGAGTGTGTGTTCGAGCACGACGCTTCACTCGCTGCCACAGTTGTGTGTTTTATTTGTAATGTGTTACAGACCATTGCTTTCCCAGTGTGTTGTACAGTTGGGTCTCCTGTTTGTGTGGTCCTGTTATCAGACCTTCACATCACGTCTTCTCTCCCTCCGATCGGGGTTGAAACAACGCAAACTCGTCCACACCAAACACAAGCGCACCGGGGTCAAACCTTTCCTCCCTTTAGCAAACCTTCCCAGCATTCACTGGTAAATATCAGCACTATAAATACAGATCCTCTCTGGGGTGGAGAACTTCCTCTGTTCCTCGCGAACACAAGCTTTTGTTTTCTTTTTTATGTCATTGTTTTATTATAATTACTTGTGGCTTTACTTTGTGGTTTACAAGATCCTGTAATGCCCCAAGAAATGATTGTAATTTGAGTTGAGTGTTTATTATCACTGGGGATTCGGCTGTTTTGAAGAGACAGAGAATGATGTCATTTGGGTGAAAATACAATCGATGTCACACATTCGAGGAGAGAGAGCTGTGGAAACATGATGAAGACGAGTACAGATGAAACATCAGGGTCACACACACTACCAGTCACAAGTTTTGAATCGGTACGATTTTTAATGGTTTTAAAAGAAGTCTCTTCCGCTCACCAAGGCTGTGTTTATTTGATTAAACATACAGAAACATTAAAAATCTTACAGATCCAAAACTTTTGACTGATAGTGTACATGTGCCAGTCTCTGATTCTAGAGCTCTGACAGCAGGCCGCTCACACACACACACACACACACACACACACACACACACACACACGATTACAAGGCTAGTTTGCGAGCGAGACATTAACCCTCCCGACGCTCTTTAAGCTCTGAGAACGGAGCCGGATTCGGCGTTTGAATGCGGTCGTGTGCCAGAACACCGAAACTCTCTGGATTTGCGTTGGGATCTGGGAAGTGTCATCATAACTCTTCAGACATCGCCACCGGCTCCAGAACACACGTCCTCTAATCGAGTCTGAAGCTGGACTGGCAGACGGGTGGAAACCTGCTCATTACGCACTTGTGGGAATCTCCAGCGTTTAACCAAGTCGAGACAAGTAACCATACGTCCTCTTGGGTTAGTGAGAGATGTTTGCTTAGATAACTAAATTGTTAAAGAGGACCTATTCTTCTTTTTCACATCTTCATCTGTCTTTAGTGTGTAATGTTAATGTTTGAGCATGAGAAAACTCCAGTTCTTCTCTATATCAGTGTCTGTTTCTGAACTCCTGAAACGCCTCCATTGTCACAATATTCCTCATTATAATAATCCATGCGCAGAATAAAGGGGCGGGGCCTGGTTGAGTTAGTTAGTAGTGTGTTAAACTGGCGGTTATAGAAAGGGGCGGGGCATTTCCCAAACACACTCAGTGCTCGACCAATCACAACACACTGCTCCAGCCGACCAATCAGAGCACAGTGTGCTTTTCAGAGGGAGGGGCTTCATAGAGACTGTGTGTGTGTGTGTGTGTGTCTAACGTACGGTTTATTTAAATAGTCCACTTTAGCATTCTACTAACTATAAGCAAGTTTGCAACTACATGTCAACTAACTCTCATTAGAGTATCAGTAGGCTGTTAGTGGGGTTGGGAATCGAATTTCGATTCCAATTCTGGAATCGTATACTTGTTATAAAATAAAAATGTCTATTCCTCTTATCGATTTATTTGTGAGGGTTTCAGTATGACTTTACGCGTGTAACGATATTGGGCAACTCTTAAAGTGACAGCACTAATATTCCTGCTGCGTTTCTATAACAACAAGACAAATCACGCTCGCTGTTCTTCACTGAATAACTTCTGTAACTATATTTGTAATGTATATTTTATTGAAAAAACTGCAGTGTTATTTTACATTTGATTACAGTTTCTGAACCTGAACACCTGAAAATCTTAAAACACAGTTTACTTCAATCGTATCTTTGTTCAGTTGTATTTAATTGAGCGATTGCTTATTTGTTATTTAGTGTTGACTTGTCTTTAATAATGCTTGAGATGTATATTAGTTCGGCTAGTTGTTCTTCTATGGTCTTTTTAAGCCTCAGGCAAATGCTTCTTGTGTAAGTGTTCTTTAACCTGTTGGTTTCTGTTCATGATATTCAGCTACAATTAAATATTCTGCAATAGACTAAATGTGAATTAAATATATCTTTTTTTTACCTTATTGGAATCGAAATTAGGAATCGATAAGCAGAATCGTTCAGATTCAAACGATACCCAACCCTACTACTAATACTCTAATGACAGCTAGTCGACATGTTGTTGCAAAGTTACTGATAGTTGGGGAGCATAAAAATAAAGTGCTTTGTGCTACAAACCAGTGTTTATGATTATGATAGTGAATTAAAATAATGATAACAAATACCAATATCGAGCAGCATAATGCACTGTTAAGCCTTGAACATTCAAGCTAAAAATGACCGCATTCACTTTTACGTTAAAAATAAGGTGGATAGCTTAAGATAATTGGTCTCAAACCTGAATATCTTTGGTTTTCCTGTCATGTCTTGTTCGTCTTGTCCCATCTCTGAGTGAGCCCAGAACTCCTCCAATCTCTGCGCTGTTTCTAAACTGGACCTGAGCGAGTAAACGCTGCGGATAAGAGGAACCAGACCTCGTCCCCTGATGAACCCACTTCAGTAATCTGAGCGCTTCTGCTTTTCCTCTCGCTCAGATTAACTCAAACACAGAGTCCTCACAACCTAAACGCTGAATAAATGGCCATTTCCGGTCCTGAGCGGCTCTGATTAGACTTAACCTTTGAACCTAAACCTCCATCTTAGAGGAGTTTGTGTACCAGAGCAGGTTTATGTCTATCCTCCTCACTTCCTTTTCTCGTTTATTTACATCTATAGTTTTGTGTTCAAATAGACAGATCCTCTCTCTCTCTCTAGGAATTATCATTAAAAACTGGGGTAGAGTTTCCAGCAAAAATAACCAGTCACCCTTCCTCTAATGCTGCCATATAAATGTGAACGTTTTCTCCGGTTTATCTTCTTTCTCAGAGGGAATATCGTTGACTGGCTCGAGCTCAGATGTCAGAAGAGCTCCAGGGGGATTGTGGGGAATAATTCATCTCTAGACCCCAAAGCTCTTGATTATAAAGCAGTTTCTGAGATGTGGCTCAAATCTGCGGATGCTTTATGATGTAGGGCAAAGAAAAAAATGGAGGATTAACCCATCGGACCTTGTAATTTTATGCTTTTCTCTGGATCTTTTACAATAAAGAAGCGCTCATACTTTTTTACTGTTAAAAGATGATTTCGCATTCAATATAAGTTCAGCTCAACAGCATTTCAGGACATAATTACCACTCAGCCCTTCGTTTTCTCTCTTTTATTTGATATTTTTAGCTGTAAAGTGTCTAAATTGCTCTTTTAGTGGTGGGACTACACCGCAAAAAAATGATATTTTTGTCTTGTTTCTTGATTTGAGAATGTGTACTGGAAAACATTTACTGGAGAAGAGGCTAAATGACTGAAGACATGAAGGAAAATCATCAAAAAACAGCAAGTTTAAACTTAAAATATGAACAGACATATGAACTTAATTCAAAGGGAAAACAAGTTTTTTTTTATGACTCCATTGGCAGATATCTGTTCTTGTTTTACACACAAACTCAGAAACAAGACTTAAAATCTTCAGTCATTGTTCTTCTCCAGTAAATGTATCTTGATGAATGTTTAGATATTTGTGCTGGGAAACAAGACAAAAAGACTAAGAAAAAAATGTTTTTCGTAGTGCACTTTATTGCTGGTAATGTAATTTTGATGTATTTTACAAGGTGGTGATTTCATATCAATTTAAATTATGCGAATATGCAAAAATATATAAAAAAAAATTTTAGGGGGGCGCTAGCTAATTTAGCCAAACTACTAATGGGGTGTGAGCAGATCATAAAATTTGTACAAAAATGAGATCATATGAAATCATCTAAAGTGGCCACCAGTTCACCAAAGCGTAAAAAAGTTTTGAATTGCCATGAGATCGTGTTGGCAATTCCTGTGAATGTAGTCTACTCATATAACAGTGTTTAATAGATGAATGTGGGCATGTTTACCAGCTTAGTTGAAGATGAAGTATGGTCTCTAACTTTACACAGGCAAGCAAGTGATTCTGAACAATATTCACATATTTAAATCAAGAGACGAGTCGAAGTTATGCTGTTGATAGAGCTAAACCGAACCGTTCCTTTAAAGCCTGAAAGGATGTGTTAATGTGCATTTATGTGCATGAACTCCAGGCCTTTCCTACAGCACAGATCACATAAAAGCCGATCGCACCTCGTCCGCTGGTCTTGGACGTCACACTCGGGACATTTGCAGGGCATAATAAACCTTTTAAGCACCATTTTTGCACGTCTTTAAACTCAGGGAGAATTTGTTGGCCTTTAAACTCTGGTGTGAAATAACTTTGCAGTTCTAACTAGCTCCAACACTTCTCCTGCCTTTAGGTCTCCATGCAAACACACTGTCACACACCTGTTGCTGGACCTTTTCCCATAGTCTCTGGCCTCCAAACGCACGGCTGTTAAGTTTACAGCCAAATGACTTACTCGCTGGAGGTCAAAGTGTCGTTTAGTACACAGAGAGACTGCTTTGTCAAGCTCTTTAAAAGCAATGCTAATGTTAGAGAAACCAGAGACACGTCATCACCCGCCAACAAACAGTTTGTCCTGTTTATCGTTTTCATAGATCAGCTAAATTCACATTCGTCTTTATAGACTTGCACAGAACACGCAACCAATGAATTTCCCAGAAAGCTCTCTAAATTTCCCAAATGTTCCCATATTTAAATCTATTCCAAAGAATCCCACTGATTTTCAACCACAATCAGCTTAGAAAATATGCTGATTCTGTGCAGGTCTATCGTAGAAACGATCCAGACCCGACTAATACTCCAGACAAGTAATAATCTGCTTTCTCTTTTTTAAAGTACCTCACTTTGTGTTAAGAGCTCAGATGAGTCCAACAGCTGTTCGTCTTTTCCCAGTTGTACAAACAGGACTGCGAGACTTTGGGAATGGTGGTGAAGATGCTCATATCCAAAGACCCAACTCTGGAACAGAAGCTCCTGACAGCGCTGACACAGAACCTGGTTGACATCAGGGAGAAATGCTTGGGAAACCTCAGCCAGTTCATCTCTGAGGTGAATGCATTGCTCAAAGCTAAATAAACCAGGCAAACCTAACCATGATCCAGAACCTGATAAAGAAACCTGTTTTTTACCAACCTAGTTGACATGTTATTCAGCACAGCTACATGTCTTAAGCCCATTTGTTAAGCTTTTAATTAACAGTTCACGTTCTCCTTTTAATGTGCAACAATAGTTCACGTGTTTTTATTGTATTGAACTATCCACGTGCTGATTTCCAAATACTACTCATACTTTTTTAGCAATTTAGTTCTACTTCTCATGTTTTCATCTCCAGTTTTGCTGTTTCTTGATACAGTTTTGAAAAGAATGTTTAAGAAAGCAACATGTTTGCCATTAAAGTGTTGTTATTTCCTCAGTGTTTGTTTTTAACAGTATTTTTTAGCTTACCTTTGTCACAGTATATATAAGTTTAGAGTGTGTATAGCTCAAATATTTGTTAGATATTTAAAAGTGGCACTCATGATACAAGCCAATAAAAAAACAGATGTGATGCAATGGTCAAAAATGTCAATCTCCATGTGTTGATAGATCCACAATAAGACAATAATGCAGACGGAATACAAGAACACGTCCTGCATATCCCAGACTCGACTACAGAAAGGATTAATGTGGACTTTAAAGATATAGTAAACACAAAATGTGCATGTATATATATTTATATATATCTCATTTTTTTTATTATTAGCCTTGCGTTCCAGTTTGCATTTATACAGATTACAGTGATCTGTCTGTATGACCCATTAATAAAATGACACTCAAATAGGCTTTGGATAATACGTAATGTACAATGTTTTAGTACAAATTGAGCAGAATTGCTGACCGTGGCATTACATATTTATTTTTAAAACCCTGATTAACAAAAGTGGAGTCGCTGCAAACCTTTGTTCTTTAGTATTTTTTCAGTAACATTCTTTTTAGAAAATCTTTTTGAAACTCAGGGATATAAAAATATTAGCTTTAACTCAACATTTTACAATATATACACATTCATTTTTGCAAAGTTAAATTATTCTCTCCATTAGTCTCTAAAAAAAGCGGCTTTATAAATATTATATTCTTCTGGTTCTTTCAAAGACTATAATCACTTATCACCTAATATGCATTATTGCAGCAAGTAAGCATGGTTTTAAATACTGCGTTGGCCAACAACATCACTGTATGGCAAGACCACTGCAATATGTCCTGACAGAGAAACCTCTGCCATGTGGAACAAGATTCAAAATAAAAGCTTAAAGCAAGTTCCATAACGGCATTTGATAAAAGACGTATTAAGATGCAGATCAACTGTTTCAAACTTCCTTGCCAATTCTATGAAATTATACAGTTTTTGTCCTTTCGTCCTCTCTTCTGTTTGGACTTTGTCCTTGTGCCAATGGGAAGTTCATCAGCGTAATATTGGTACCGAGGTTGTCTTGGTTGTGGAATAGGCTGGCCCAGGAAAAAGCCTTCCTCCTCTGATTCAGATGATGAAGACGAACAGGTAGAGCACCAGTCATCTTCGTCCCCACAAAGACGTAAAAATCTCTCTGCCCCCTGGCTTTGCAAACCGTATTCAGAGTCAGCGTGGGCATAGGGAGGCTGTCTGTAGTGAGCGTTCGGACCCGGCTCGTGCTGGCGGCGGTCCTCCTTAAAGCACATACGGGCCTTTTCTTTGGGCAACAAGTGAAGTGCATTGTCCGAACGAGACTTACGACTCCTTCGCCTGTGGTGATGCCGGTGGCGCTGCTGATCTTGCTCATCGAAGTGGTATGCTCGTCTGCGAGTACGTTCACTCATGGGAGGCTGCCGCACCTCCAGGCCATCATATCGTCCGTTATCTATAACATCATCTGAGAACTTTACCTGCTGAGGTTTGGACTGGGACTTGGACCTTCTTAAGACAGATAAGTGAGGTGGTTTGGGCCTCTCCTCCGGGAGCGGGACCACCTGCTCCTGGTCCTCCTCTTCAATGACCGCCACACGCTCAAGCTCGGAGGTCAGGCTCTTCAGGGAGTTTGTGCTTCTGTGCAGCACTGATGAATTCAGCGTCCCCATGTTGCTGGTGTTCTCACAGTGTTCAAGCTCAGAGAACTGTTGTAACGAGTAGAGCAACTGTTTCTCTTTTATATCCCCATCAACTGAAGCGCCTGAAAGGATCACAGAAGTTCAAATTATACTATACAGCAGTGCAAAAAATTACATTTAATACTCTAGAAGTAGAAATTTAAATGCCATGGTGTGCCTGATTTTCAATGACCAAATCCCAGACTACCAAAAATGCAAAATTCTACAAAAGGCTTAACAGATTCCAGTTTGCCACCAAAATTACACGCTTAACTTTTTGCCTACATTGAACATGGTTTACTATATATATCTACATCCATTCCTTAGATTTCCCCCCAATTGCCTCACATACTTTGCACTCAGCAAATATCACTTGCACATCAATCCTTTAGTCTCACCTGTGATGTTGGAGAGCGCCAAGGAGTCCATCGAGTCTCTGATGTTCTGCTCTGCTTGTTTAAGTTCATCTGTGATGCATTCCAATGAGTCATTAAACCACTGTTTGTCTTCAAGCTTAAAGCTGGCTCCATGCTCCAAATCGAGCTCCTGGAGCTTTCTGCTGCTTGCAGGTCCAGGGTGACTCCCATACGCAGAGTCACCTAGTCCATCCTGGGACTGTGCCCAGTACATGTCTGCCTTGTACTTTTTACTGGCCAGACTGCCATTCCCACCACTGCCTGGCATCCTTGTCTCAGCCTTGTTTTTGGCATCAGAGTCAGTCATCCAGAGGTTGTTTGGCCTAGTGTCCTCCGGCTGCTGGAACATTCCATGTTCACCAAACTTGAGAAGGAGCTGGGTCATGTAGTCCTCATGCTCGGCCCATTCCTCGTGGTCCTCGGGATCTTCCTGCTCCTCCCTGTTCCTCCAGAAGTGGTTGTCTGCAAAGCTTAGCTGTGACAGCTTGTTGGACAAGGTGTCGTCAGCGTTTCCTGAGAGTCCGGGGAACTTGTAATTGCCTGCAGGTGAAAAGAGAAGAGACTGTCGACATTGGTCTGCGGAGCGGCTGCTTTGTCCCATCTTCACACTGCGCCGTGATTCCCGAGATCTTGCGGACTGGAAGGCAGAATCGGAAGAATCCGAGGCGTGGACGTCCTCCCCTAGACTGCAGGTCTTGGAACAGTAGATCCTGCCTTGTCTGGGTAAAAAGGGACAACCAAGCAAGGAGCTCTTGCACTGAGCACAGCTAAAACAAGCATCTGTGGCGTGCCAGTGAAGGCCATCATACGTCATTTGGGCATGGTCCACCCCTAGAAGAAAATAAACAGGAGTTAAAGGTCAGCTTCTTGCAGGCGAAACGTGGTTTGTGGTAAATGACGTTAAGACATCAGAGAGACACATTTGGGCTTACCAATGTGTTCGGCGCAGGCCTCACAGTATTCCGCGTGCAGAGACTCAAAGCAACCGCAGCAGAAGGGCCGACCATCCTTCATGATGTACCGTTGACCACCCAGGATGGTCTCGCATTCAAAGCAGGAAAAGTGCTTCATATGCCAGTGACGACCCTCTGCCTCTGTGCACTCGTCCGCAAAAATAATCTGTGAGGACATCAATAAATGAATAAGAGCATCCATGATATAACATGCCTTGTTTCATGCACAATACAATGAGTGTGTTTTTTGAAAAACTAAACTCACCTCATCACAGGAGGAACAGCGTGGCTTTAGCAATTCAGCATGATGCCGTCCACAGTGGACCTTCCCATCCTGGTAGAAGTAAATGAGATCAACCAGGAGCTCATTGCAGGTGGAACATGTGAAGCACGATGGGTGCCAACACTGACTAGGTCCCGCTCGTGAAGCGAACACCACCATCTCCCCTCCACTGACGTTCTCTCCACACTGAAGAGGCAAGAGTTTAAATAAAACAATCAGCTTCAAACAGTCACTTCTTGCATCGCAATACGCTTAGTTTAAACACCTACGTGTTCACACATGGCATGAAGCATCGTCCTTGGCAGCAGTCTTAGAGTTCCTCGCCCGAGGGCCTCTTTCTTTCTCTGCACGCTAAACATGTGAAGCTCCTTCTTCTCTTCTTCACTGAGAGACTGGCAGTATCGCACCTGAGGGGGACATTAAAAACGTGTTTGCTGTCAAACTATTAAGAAAGAAGTCCTTGTGGACCACATGCAGGGTCTTTTGAGCAAAGGAAGTGTTCCTTTTAATGTGCTTACATGCTAGAGAAAGCATTGAAGGAGAGTTTGACAAATACAAATGCATGCAATGTGTTTTGAGTGGAAAGACAACCAGGAATACAGCAAATTTGGTTTACAAAAGCACATCTGCATCCAACGAAAATCTACATCAGAGTGCACTGCTGCAAAAGATACCATTTTCTCAACTTTGCATGATGGTGCGTCAGTTTGGCAAACCTTCTATGCTCATCCCCATTAAAATCCAAGCCTTAGCTGATACAGTGCAAACTCTTGTGTGTAGGCTCCCTTATAGATGGCCTGGAAATTTTGCTTAAACCATCTCTTAGTCAAATTGCTGAGCACTTTAGTTTTGGGATACCTTAACACAGGTAAATGGAACATCTCTTGATTTAAATAGCAAAATTAAGTCACACACTAAAAAACACAAACTATGCATGTTTTTTAACAAGTTGTGATCCTTAAAATAATTTGTGACCCTGAGCAATGTCTCAGATCGAGTCAGATCGAGTCTCCCCAAGCAGCATCATTTAATCTTCAGCTCAAAAGTCTCATTGTACAAGCACCCACATAGATATGAAGTGACAAAGCTTCTTTCTGTGATGGCAGGGAATGTGGTCAAGCTCTAAACCCATGAAGCTAAAAACACCCACACCACGTTGCAGTTAAAAAGCTATTTGAAGGGGTTTTGAAATGTGATGCGTGGGCATTTTGGACTGCAGCGATGCTGGGGAAACAATAGGGGCTTTCATGGCTGCTGATGCAGGTCCTATTCCCTTTGTTTCTGTAAACTCACCTCATTGTCATGAGGAGGTAGCTGGTACAGGAGCTGCTTGATGCGGTATTTCTCCCCGGGGCTGTTCACATAAGGGACTTTGTCCTCAGGTAGGCAAGAGAAGTAGAGCTGGACCTGGATATGAGATGGAGACAGATCAGGTCAGTTACTCCATGTAGAATATGCACAAAGTCAAAAAAGCAGTTACACTAGACTAGCACTAGCCCAATGTCTATCTTAAGTAATCCGATCAGAAATGTGTTGTTTTTTGTTGTTGTTGGTGGTCACGAGATCAGAGACCCTGCCCTCAATGAAATCAACCTTTCTCAGCTGAGCACTTGTGATCAGATTTCCAGAGACAAATGTTAATGCCATGTGTACCAGGTTGAGTCACTCCTGTGTGTCTATCAACATTGCCATTTCCATTAAATGACCTTTTCTGAAACTTGAGCCACCAGTTTTGGGCTGAAGAAAGGTTTTTACTGTACTCTATTGTGCTTCTATGACACTGTGACCTATGCCTTGTGAGTGGGAACTCTTTATGAGTGCTGGTCGTAACAGCCCCCAGATAAATAGCTGAACTGTGCTTGTCTTTTCCTGCATGAAGAGAGTCCTGCTGCTGTTGAGTCAGTCTACTGGAATGGCATTTAGACCTGATGATCAGCAGCACCATAAATCACCCCTCATTTCAAGCTGATATTACCTCTGGTACTGAGCCTTAGGCACTTGAACAACACGATTCCTGAGTGTTTGTGTTCTTCCCCACAATGATCACCTATAATCTGCAGGGCAATTCACAGAATGGCTGCTATAAAGGCATTACAGTTGGCTCTTGTATTTAACACAAAAGCTGCACTGGGATTTTAGGGGTCTCCAAATTGCTTTAGACCTTTTTCCTCACCCATCACTTCAGATTTTATTCAAGGGTGCTCTTAAGGACAGCTGGGGGAAGTGTGGGACACCGACTGGAATCAGCGCCACATCAGCGCGCCTCCAGGCACGAGAGGACCGCCTTTGCGTACAATGCCAGGAAAAAAAAAAAGTTGTGGCTGCGAGCTTGGCTGTTAGCAAACTGCTTTTCCTCATCATTTCAAGCCCTTTTGTCTGGCAGCTTGAGATAATGACTTGCAGATTTTCCATGAAGTAGTTTGTAAATAAAAAGCAGCATTTCCTGTTCCCAAAATGCCTGTGGGGTGCTTCCTTCACAGTGTTTAGCTGTGCCTGCAAAAATGCAGTAAGGTCCTCTAAATCTTAGTGACTATGACTAGCTCTGCTGACAGAATGATTGACAGTTTGGAATTTTAATAAAGATCACATCTGGTGTATTTATTGTATAACAACTTGCACATTGTTAAGATATCACATCTTGAACTGCATGATACTATTTAGCCATTACAGACCAGATTCTTTCCCTGAAACTGAAGACATGCGACTGCTTTGCATTATGTAACATGCTTGTTATTGCGGTTTTCCCCTTTCTAAATAATGTTGCCATTTTGGCTTCATGCTGCCTTCTAACCATTTCCTACCTTACATGGGTACTGTTCTGACATAAGCATTAATGTAAGTTCTCTGTTAAATGCTTCACGTTGTGGAGGCAATATTCCAATAAGTTCTAGACTTTCATACGCCCATAGAGATTGGTTTACCTGCTCTGGTCGAAGTCCTGGTGGCACCCAAGCATATTCCTCCAAGGCACAGCCCGAGTCGTCATCTGAGGTGGAGCTCCGCTGGAAGCCGAACGTGAGCTTGTTGACCTTAGGCTCCATGTCCAGCTGCCTCACGGCACCGTGGAAACTTCCCGAATTCTCGAGGTTCATCAGAAAGACCTCCTGAAGTGGTTAAGAGGGTACAGTGTGTCATGGATCACGAAACCACATGATAAAACACCTCGTAAGATACATTGTATTGGGATGAGAACAATAACGCAACTGGAATAATGCAGCGTCCTAAAACATTTCATGGCAGTTATGGTGACTTCCAGCCCAGGGTGGAGGCCTGTTAAATAGATTCTGCTCATAAAACGATGGCAGTTTTATTGTTACTGCTATTGTGCCGAGTTTTGCCGTGATGTGGTTGGACATTCCCTCCAAACTTCAACCATCCTAACTCTTTTACAGTCAATTTATTTTAATGTATTTTCCCGACTCATCATCACCGTGGAAGCTTTCTGGTATTTTCCATTTCCTTCTATTGGGACGCTCTTCTGGTTAAGTTGAGCACTAATGCATGCCATATATGATTTTTCCCAACAACAGTTTACTTGAGACTGTTCAGAACTCTTTCAGCTCAAACGGACAGAGGACTGAAACTTCTCAAGACAAGATCTTTTGCGTTCTTCCCTGTCACTCCTTTGAAGTCCATTCAGGACACCAAGCATAACAAAGCCATATGGTAATGCTTGAAAACCATGTCTTTCTTCAAGCCCCTGTGCTGTTTGTTGAGGACAGTGTTTTAGAACCTGCCATACCGCATCACGTCCTGCTGAGTGAGGCATCATCAGATGCTTTGATCTCTGGAGCTGCTGTTTTTGGAATGAAAACAGGTGAGATGGATGGAATGAACCCAATGACAGGTGTTAGTTTCACATGTACAGCAATTTAGACTGGAACGGGAAGATGCATCCAGAATATGTGCATCAACGGTGAAAGGGTGAAGCTCACAAAAAGTGGCAAGAAATGTCAGATCATATTTCACACTAAAGAGAATGAATTGACTTTTTTTAATTGTAGTGGGATAGAGAGAATTAGGAGAATTTTTTCATAAAAGTAATGCCACAATGTGTGTGTGTGTGTGTGTGTGTGTGTGTGTGTGTGGGGGGGTCTTAATTGTCCAAACAATTCTACTTTGATTAAACTGAAAAGAAAAGGCACTCAAATGACTCATCTCCTATGTTAGAACTATTCAACCAAGTCAACAACAACAACAAAAAAAGAGAAATGCATCTTTAAAACAGTAGTGAAAGGTTTTACAATAACACAGATAAAGATAACCAGAATGCTCAACTATCAGATAACACTGGGTAAATTAATTGCAATGCAGTTAAATTGATGTGCCAATACACATTTGAGATGTTGAAGTAAATGCAATCGTTCCCGACCCATCACAATCCCATCTATAGATGATCAACTGAAACGACCCAACACAGCTTTTTGTTCAGGCCTGAAATTCTCTTCGGTTGAACTCAGTGGAAATCATAAAGGCTCCCTGACAAACCCACTCCAACAGAGGCTAAAAATGTTTAAAACTGTGACTTCTTCACCAAAGTACTTAATTTTAGGTGTTCAAATACCCCAAACTCTTCTCAGTACAACCATTGAAGTTACTGTAAGAGACTACTCAAACATTAGCCTGGTTATGTAATTCTATCAGAAGAGATACATTCCCTGCCATGTTACACATGTGTTCTGGTGGTGCAAAATCCACTAGGATATGATATTTTCTTCAAAGGAAGTTGCTGACACAGGAAAGGAGCTCAAAGAGGCAACACCCTTTCTCCTAAACAGTCTCCTTAAGTATGCTAATTTCTGTCTTAGATGCCATCAGCATCACTTCCTGAGACTCCAGATCTAATCAACAACTGAAGTGAAGAGAAACTGCAGTAATGTTTCATCGAAAATAAACAGCTATTTTACGATTGAGTGGCTCTGAGTGAATCGCAGGGACCTCGGGGAACCGAAGCAGTTCCTGTCTGAAAAAGCTCGCCCTGAAAAAGCCCTCGAGCCCCGAGTGTTTAACAGCCGGCTCTCTTGTAGAGCTGCTTGTTAACATGACTTTGGAGGTCTGAGATGCATATCTGTTAGATCCACCCACGGGAGGCCTGAATGGCCCTCAGTGGGGGGCAGATATGGGTGGGGGTGAGTTGCCTGGGGAGGGGATGGACCCCGGGTGATCACACAAGGGTAACTACCAGAGACTCATATGGTAATGGACCCTCAGAATAGCAAAGGACCAATTTCATGAAGACTTAAAGTGAATAAATGCATTTTTTTGCATATTTTTATTTCTACAATAAATGATGCATAACTTCACGTGGCTAATCAAAATGATATGACCATGCAAATGAACTCTCATACAGATTAATTTGCATAAGTGTCCTGAGGACACCAGGTCAACCCAAACAAATGACATCTTACTCAATAGCCCATATCCACAACTTTGGTGTGGAAATGTGAGAGGTAACTATTCTCACAGAAATAGCATGGGTTAACTGGGTAAAACCAGATTCAATTAGAGTATAGTAGTAGTTCAGTCAACAGATTTGACCTTTGAGAGACAGTAAATGTGACTGTTTTGAACATAACATGGCTTTACTGCATAACTACTAAATTTTTCTCAGGTAAATTAGTCAGAATGACACTCATTATGGGTGCATTAAAAATGATGTGGTTAATGAGAATAGTGCGTGTGTGTAAAAACAAGCCTTCATTAAGCCCAGTAAATGTGGAAATGTTCAGCAGATCCACTGGCACCGATGGCGCTCCATTAGTCCGGCCCGTCAGGACCTGTTTGATTTGGCCCAGTCCAGACCTGAATCAGTGCTGGAATTCTGTCTATGGATTTAATGTTAAGAACAGCAGAACTGGCAGAGGATGTGAGCGATTCCTGCGCTCCACAAATGAGGAGTTTCCCTCCACGGCTGTTGAGCCAGTAATAAAACTTCAATCCAACAAATACAATCGTTTGTTATGACATGTCACTTCCAAAAACACTTGAATACAAAAGCATCTTTGAATCTTCTAAAACAAACAAGTCCAAACTCCAAACTAGAACTTAACTTACCTCAAAGCTTTAACTAAAACCCTCAAAAGTTAATATGAGCACATAATTAGATCTGTTTTTACTAGTTGTCAACAGATCACAAGAGTAGAGCCAAAATAACACTGATATATTATACATGGTGCACAAAATAGATGTACACAACATATATATTAAAAAAGCACCATTTCACACTCAAAATATTCAGGCTACTTAAAATTCTACATTCACCCAAAATTTCCTAACAAAATATTGTAAAACATTAAATATTTAGTCTGCATTGACAAGATCGTCACTAGAATCAACCACTTTTGTTAATCAACCAATTGCAAATGGTTATCAGTCTGATTACTAGTTTCTACCCTCCAAAAGACATACAACTGTTATCTGAAAATATATTTATGATGCCCTAATGCCAAGACCGTGACAAGTCTAGGGTCATCAGACAACTTTTTTTAACTTTAAGTTATATCAGAGAATGCTAGACATTATAAACAGGAAGGAGGCAGTGTCGACTCATTCCGGAGCGTTTGGGTGATCCTCCCAAACTTTTGGCCAAACTTTGAAGAACTCGAGTGTTATTCCAGGACCAAATGGTTTCAAGGCTTGTCCCAACAGACTGAAGACATTAGAGAAAGACCACCTGCGTTCTGACCGGCTGGAGCCAGATGACTAGAAGCTTCAGATATTTACCCACAACACACCTCTCTGACACCTTTCTCCTTTTCAACAGACCTTTATACACACGCAGAGTCTTCAAATCTGTGCTGCACCACCTACAATTAACTGAGAAGTTTAGAAAAGCTAAATATAACTAGAAGTAGGACGTGACACAGCAAAATATAGGTCAAATGTGCACTCAAAGCCCCTGCAGAAAAGACTTAAATGTTTCACAGTTTCAAACCATACCTGCTCGCTCAGCAACGTCTTCAAGACAATCGAATCAAACAGTGTTCTCCAAACGTCCCGTGATTCCTTGACTACATGTCCTCAGTGTGAGCCTCATCCCATCTAAATCCAAAGCAGACGTTGTCACGCGTGTGAGCCGACGGCGCAGGACGAGTACAGTAGTGTGTGTGTGTGAATGTGGAGATCAACTCTAGCAGATGCTCTTCCATTTACTGCAGTCCTGTGGAGCCACTCCCCCGATAACCCGAGCTCGGCCCTCAGCGTGGGCTCCTAGACCAAACCCCCTTCACTTCAAACACACTTCACATTACTTACAGCAGCGGTCAGTTTCACCCAGCCCTTCCTCGGGTTTCTCCAGCGACTGTCCTGGGTCTAAACGCACTGGGACACTCATGCTCTTATACATACAATCCTCACATCAATATTGATAACACGGTAACACCTTACAATAAGGTTCATTAGATAACTAACATGAACTAACAATGAGCAAAACATGTTACAGTATTTATTAATCTTTGTTAATGTTAGTTAATAAAAATACAGCTGCTCATTGTTCATGTTAGTTCAAGTGCATTAACTAATGTTAACAAATGCAACCTTTGATTTTAATAACTTAGTAGTAAATGTTGTAATTTATATTAACTAAGATTAATAAATGCTGAAGAATTATTGTTCTTTCTTAGTTCATGTTAACTAATTAACTAATGGACCTTATTGTAAAGTGTTACCGATAACACAATCTGGTCGTATACACTGAAAGAAATTGGTGTAGGATTTACTTTGAAAGTAAAGTATCTACTTTTAAATGTTCACTCGGAAATTACTAGCAAATACTTACAAAAATACAATCAAATAACATTGAATTAAATGTAAAATTTTGAAGAATTTTCTACAATAAAACCTTTTACAATAATCGTTTTATTTACATCAACAAATCTTTTTTTACAGGCTAGAATTTCGTTTTAAAATCTAAAAATTGGATAAAATGTAAAATAGTGTTAAATTTCATATTGAACGTTGACTTCTTGTTTTCCAGCACAAATATCTAAACATTCTTAAATCAAGATACATTTACTGGAGAAGAACAATGGCACTAGACATTAAGTCTTGTCTTCTAAGAAATAATGAAGATTAAGTGAATTTATGATTAAAATAAGATAAAATATCAGTGCAGCCAGAAAAATAATCCAGTTTTCCCTTTTAATTAAGTAAAAAAAAATATGACCCCACCCAGTGATATATGTTTTCTGTTTTAAACAAACTCGCCTAATATTTACACATTTCTTTCTGTCATTTTGCACCTCAAATAAATGATTTGATTTAAGAATGTTTTGATATTTGAACTGGTAAACGAGACAAAAATACCGAGTGAGAAAATCCATTTTTGCATTGAAAATAATTCATAAATATTGTAATATTTCAATCAGAATTGCTATAAATTCACCCAAACAGGCTGCAAAAAAAGTTTTCCTAATAAAGATAATTTTCACTAAAAATATATCTATTTTCAAGTGGCTCTTTAAGCAAAAGTGATAAAACTGAAGTGAGTTGCATTAATTGGAGTTTCAGTCAAACGTCACTCCTTTACGTCTCAAGTCAACAATGATGTCAGCAGATCCAGACCACAATGCCTGAAAGACTCCACATGCTACTTGCAGAGCGTTTACCATGAAAATCAAAAAGCCCGTCCCTATCAGAGCCAATCCACTTCTGTATGGGTGTTTTGCTTTTAGCATGCGTGCCGTTTGGGGAAATACACACTTTTTGTCTTTCATTGGCATTGAAACACTAGGAAGGCTGATTCTGAAGTTACTTTTAGGATCTGAACTCAGAATGAAAGAACCGTTCAACCAAACCACCAGGAGACCCAAAGGAACAAGGTTTTTTGACAAAAAAACAAATGTCTACAGTTGGAAAATTAGTGCAACCAAATTCACCCTTCATGAACGCCTTATGCGCCCAAGTAGTGACCCCAAAACCCTCAGTGTCCTGCCTAGAAAGACAGTTTACCTCATCTCGCCTTCATTTCCTGAGGAATGTGCCAAAGGTGAAGACCTTCCTGTTGTTTAAACAAACAAGAGCTCAGAGTTTGTTCTCCGTCCAGAAGGACGAGGCTCCCGGTTTCCTGAATGAAGGATGATGGAGGAAGTTATGAAACTCAATTCGTCTACCCAGGGTGGTCTTTGTTCTTACCTCAATCATTTCACTACAAACCAACAACTTAGTGCTCATGAAATGGAAACTTCCCTCGGGGGTGTGCAAAAGAAGTGTCAGATTCAACAGCTCGGTTAACTGGCCAATGATCTCGTCGTACCAAACAGGCTAGTCACCTTTATTTATACAGCGCTTTTTACAATACAGAGTGTTTTAAAGAGATAACAGGAAAATAATGCAACAAAGTTTGTTTCCAGAAGAAAATATCGTCACAGTCCAGCTTAAGTAAGTTCAGTGATGTTTCATTTTTATTGTGATAAGTTATTAATTTAGTTCATTTATATATATAGCCGCTCTGGATATAACCGTGATGTCATCGTCCAGCTCAGTTCTTATATAATGGTGTCAATGCAGGAGATCAATGAAATATTAAATTAAATGTCCCCAACTAAGCAAGCCAAAGGCGACAGTGGCAAGGAACCAAAACTCCATCAGTGACAGAATGGAGAAAAGAAACAGGACAACAACTGCAGCTTAAACCCGATCCCTTATTTCCAAAAATCATAAAATCTACCCTACAAATATAGCAAGCCTATAATAGATGCCGACTGTTCACTGAGCTTTTTTACGACCACTGCCTTGAATAAAAGCGCTGGTAATGGGATGGAGGTTTTTTGGAGGACAACACCATTGTTGCGTTCAAGGCCACAGAGGTGCAAACCCAGCAGGACCCGGACCACAGCACAGCCCTTTGTGTTGCCGAAACAAAGAGGACGAGGGGATTGAGCCCCCCTGGTTTTAGCGGCTCGCCGAAAGATAAACAAACCCCCTGACTAGCTCTTCATGCATCACAAACGTTGAGTAGCCTACTGAAAAACTACAGTGTGGATGTAAAAGAGAGTCAAAATGGATCATTGTTTTCAGAAATGCTATATTTGTGGTCTTCTATACGAATTCACAGCTTCGGAAACTGTAAAGAGTCACTTCAACCACATCGTCTTTCATTCACAGGCCTCAAACAACCACTGGAACATAGTTTTGGTCTCATTTAGTTAGTAAACCGAGCAATATATTCATCTTGATACATGCTGCTCTTCCTCAGTGTTTTTGTGAGGTTGTGTTTAAAATGAGAAAAAGTTCTAGTGGTTTTCAGTTTGAATTGGTTTTTCTGACACCACTGGCAGATGTTTTTGATCTTTGTCATTCTGCATCTCTATTAAAGGAATAGGTCATCATTTACTTGTTTCAAACCTGTATGAGTTTCTTTCTTCTGCTGGACTCGGATGGAAGATATTGTAAGAATGTCGGGAATCAAACAGTTGATGGACCCCATTGACTTTCATAGTATTTTTGGTAACACTTTATTTTACAGTGTCCTTGTTACATGTTACATGTACTTGCCGTAATAATAACAACAGTAAATTATGCATGATAACATGCAACTAACCCTCAACCAAATCCTACCCTAACCCTATAGTAAGTACATGTTGTTGCTTAATATTACTCAGTACTTAAATATATAATTACACTGTAACAATGACACCTTAAAATAAAGTGTAACTGTATTTTTTTCCTACTATGGAAGTCAATGGGGTCCATCAACTGTTTGATTACCGACATTCTCCACAATATCTTCATCTGTGTTCAGCTGAAGATAGAAACTCATACAGGGTTGAAACAACTTTAGGCCGAGTAAATGATGACAGAATTTTAATTTTGAAGAGTATTTCTTTAAAATCATCTTAAGACCTTAGATATTTGTACTGGAAAACGAAACTAAATGAGCTGTAGTGTGTCGAGCCTCAGGTCAGCGACCGCCACACCCTGTAAACACTGACGGACGTGAATGAAGTCATTTGTACAAACTCCTGAGCCAAAAATACCAATGGTTTCCCAAAACCCCTTGAGAAGAGCCGCTTCAAATGAGGACTCTATCTGTCCGCGTTTCAGGACGACCCTGGAAATAGACCCATCCATCACGCCGACGCTCTGTTGTGGCTCTCGTTTCACAGTTCAGGGTTGAACAAGGATTCCTGTGCAATATAAAACAGGACAAGTCACACATCCCTGACCTGGGATCCTTTCTAAGCACAAGAGGGTCGTAAATCTGCCCCCTCCGGCCCCCTCGCGGCCACAGCGGTTCAAACGGCTCCTCACACCTGGCTTGAAACTCACGGTTGTAAAACCGAAAGGCCAGTTTGACCCGGCATGTCCTGACGCACTCGGGACCCCATTCGGAAGATCCTGCGCCATTAACGGATGAGTTCACTTTGAAATTTCTTTATAATTTACTCGCCCCCACGTCATCCAAGATGTTCATGTGTTTCTTTCTTCGGTGGAAATGAAATGAAGGTTTTTGAGGAACACACTCCAGGGTTTCTCCATAGAGTGACTTCAATGGGGTCCAACGGGTCGAAGGTCCAGATGTGAGTTTCAGTGCAGCTTCAAAGTCTCGACACGATCCAGCCGAGGAATAAGAGTCTGATCTAGACAAACCAGCGGACACTTATAACAAAATAAACATTTATATACTTTTAACCACTAATGCTGGTCTGGCACGATCTGTGATGCGACACACATTACGTAATGACGGTGAAAGGTCAAGCGTGTTCTGGTTCAGAAATGTAGAGTAGCGCGATAAACTCAATCTCATTTACTTTTCCAACTTTAAAATCGTCCGACATCGTTGTTCTACCTTTTATTTTTTGTAAAGGGTGTTTGAAATGGTCTGTTCTTCCGCCTTATACTGTACGTCACGTGACCTTTTAACGTGATTGTTTTTAAAATTACGTAGATCCAAAACGTTTGACTGGTCGTGTACATCTCACAATTCTGAGAAGAAGAAGAAACACGCATGCAAGACATAAACATGAAATTGCATTATATTTGATTCCTTGACTCCATAGCTTGTCTTTAGTCCTGTTTCTCACCCGTCATGTGAGAGCATGTGTCAAGTCAAGTCATCCTCATTTATATAGCGCTTTTAACAGTGTAGATTGTTTCAAAGCAGCTTTACAGAGATAAACATATCATTTA